TCTGCCTCTCGTCCAGGGGCCGTCGCTCCAAGTGCCGCCTTAATTTCCTCTCCCGCTAGCGTAGTGCCCTTTCACGCTTGGGGCCTTACGGCCCTTCCATTCGCCAGCGGTCTGACTACCTCATACCCCGACGACCGGGGTCTTTATGACCCGCTGGGTTGACTGTTCCGCCCGGTGAGGATGTCAACCCCCTCGATTCCTCAATTCCCCAGTCCATTCTCTCCTTTCTCTTCCGGATCGCAGTCGACGGGGATGGCGCCGTCTCAGACTGTCGGGTTGGATACGCTTGCCGAGGGCTCGCAGTACGTCCTGGAACAATTGCAGCTGTCGCGAGACGCTGCGGGAACGGGTGCCGGCGACGGCGCGACCTCCACTTCCTTGCGAAATAATTCCATGTCGCATGCGAAAGATCAACCACTTTTTGACGACGAGAGAAACCAGAGCGCTGGCTCCGGTTTCAAGAACTCTCTGCAAAGAGATCCCCTCGTTGAGGCTCGCTCTGCCATTCGCAAAAACTCCTCGTCGGCTCCAGTCCGCCGCCGAATCAGCCGTGCCTGTGACCAGTGTAACCAACTCCGAACGAAATGCGACGGGCAGCATCCGTGCGCTCACTGCATTGGTAGGCTTCCGCTCTTTTTCCGATGCCGGCGACAGGCTGGACGCTTGACTGACGTGCTGCAGAATTTGGACTGACCTGCGAGTATGCGCGAGAACGCAAGAAGCGCGGAAAAGCGTCGAAGAAGGACCTGGCAGCAGCAGCAGCGGCGTCCACCCATGGGTCAAATGGTCATTCAGGGCAGGCCAACGCGTCGCTGATGGCCGAGCGGACGTCTGAAGACAGCCGGCCAGCGCAAGATGTTAACGGCCGATACGACTCGACCTTTGAGAGCCACCATATCAGCTCGCAGCCCTCGCATATGCAGCATGCGAACAATGCAGGTATATCCGGTCTGCATGACTCCCAGACGGCGCCGCCGCATTCGCAGCCATCGCTAGGAACGACCATCGATGCGATGCATCTAAGCCATTTCAATACGCTGAATGATTCTGGTCGCCCGGCCATGTCCATGTCCGACCTTCGATCGTTACCCCCTTCCGTCTTACCACCTCAAGGCCTGAGTTCCGGGTACAACACGAGCGCATTCGCTTTAGTCAATCCGCAGGAACCGGGCTCCCCAGCTAACCAGTTTCGCTTGGGAAGCTCAGCGGAAAACCCAACCGCACCGTTCCTCGGTCTCTCACCTCCAGGGCAATCGCCTGGATGGCTCCCTCTTCCTTCGCCATCTCCTGCCAACTTTCCTTCTTTCAGTCTGCATCCGTTTTCCAGCACTTTACGATACCCTGTTTTGCAGCCGGTTCTGCCACATATTGCCTCGATTATCCCGCAGTCACTAGCGTGTGACCTTTTGGATGTTTACTTCCATAGTTCCTCCCCTTCCCATCTGTCTCCGTCGTCCCCATACGTGGTGGGCTATATATTCCGCAAACAGTCCTTCCTCCACCCGACGAAACCCCGTATATGCAGTCCCGGTCTCCTGGCGAGTATGCTCTGGGTAGCCGCGCAGACCAGTGAAGCTCCTTTCTTGACATCGCCGCCCTCGGCTCGGGGCCGTGTATGCCAGAAACTGCTGGAATTGACGATCGGTTTGCTCCGACCGTTGGTCCATGGCCCTACTACCGGCGAAGCGTCCCCCAACTATGCGGCGAACATGGTTATTAACGGCGTCGCTCTGGGCGGATTCGGAGTCTCCATGGATCAGCTGGGCGCGCAAAGTAGCGCCACCGGGGCCGTGGATGATGTGGCAACCTATGTGCATCTTGCGACGGTAGTGTCCGCCAGCGAGTACAAGGCGGCCAGCATGCGCTGGTGGACTGCGGCGTGGTCTTTGGCGCGCGAGCTGAAGCTAGGCCGTGAGCTGCCACCCAACGTCTCTCACGCACGTCAAGACGGAGAGCGAGACGGGGATGGCGAGGCGGATAGGCGACATCCTCCAACTCTTATTACATCGCTAGGCCATGGACCGGGAAGCTCCGGCATCAGTGTCACCGAAGAGGAGCGGGAAGAGCGCCGGCGCCTGTGGTGGCTCTTATATGCGACAGATCGGCACCTGGCGCTGTGTTACAATCGCCCCCTCACGCTTCTGGACAAGGAATGTGGCGGGCTGTTGCAGCCGATGAACGATGATCTGTGGCAGGTCGGCGACTTTGCGGCGGCTGCCTACCGCCAGGTCGGACCACCCGTCGAGTGCACGGGTCACAGCATGTATGGATACTTCCTGCCGCTGATGACGATTCTCGGAGGGATCGTCGATCTGCACCACGCCGAGAACCATCCGCGCTTTGGACTGGCGTTTCGCAATAGTCCGGAATGGGAGCGTCAGGTTCAGGACGTTACGCGACAGCTGGACACATACGGGCGCAGCTTGAAAGAGTTTGAGGCGCGCTACACCAGCAGCCTGACTCTGGGGACTGCGGATAATGAACCTGTCGTGGAAGGTGCCCACTTGGACCACACGAGTCCTTCAGGCCGTTCCAGTAGCACCGTGGGATCACGGGTGAGCGGGTCCATCATGCACACGAGGATGGTCGTCGCCTACGGGACGCATATCATGCATGTCCTGCATATTCTGCTCGCGGGCAAGTGGGACCCTGTCAACTTGTTGGAAGACCATGATCTGTGGATCTCCTCGGAGTCGTTTGTGTCGGCCATGAGCCACGCGGTCGGTGCGGCGGAAGCAGCAGCAGAAATTTTGGAGCATGATCCGGATCTCAGCTTCATGCCGTTCTTCTTCGGGATTTACCTGCTACAAGGCAGCTTCTTGCTGCTACTGGCGGCGGACAAGCTGCAGGGCGATGCCAGTCCAAGTGTTGTGCGGGCATGCGAGACGATCGTGCGGGCGCATGAGGCGTGCGTTGTGACCTTGAACACAGAGTACCAGGTAGGCCTTTGTTTATTCCTTCATTCTGTATTGATAACTAACGCTATGTAGCGGACATTCCGCAAGGTTATGCGATCGGCGCTGGCGCAGGTTCGAGGACGCATCCCGGAGGACTTTGGAGAGCAGCAGCAGCGCCGACGCGAAGTGCTTGCGCTGTACCGCTGGAGCGGCGACGGCAGTGGGTTGGCACTGTAGCGCGGTGATACAGCTGACGATGAGATGTGATTTATGGCGCGCATTGACCGGTCAATGGCTTACATTCTATCTGATACTATTGGATTCGCTATCTACTCCGGGCTTATGCTGGCTTCATTGTCAAGGGGATGGCATGGCGAATGGAAGATATGCTTACTTCGTGTTGATATGGATTCGTACATATACTTGTGATATATGTGGATATTTGTGGCATGTACACTATGCGTGATGCTGATTTTGAACTGATACTGATACTGATACTTTGATACCTGGTCAATCTAATTGCTTTTTAATGATTTGTTGTGCAACAGCCGAGGTATGACGCCATGGCTGAGATAAGCTGCCGATAAGCATGCATCGGAGCACCAAAACCTTCATACAAACAATCACCTCCACCACCGCAATGACAATAGCATAGTAATCCCAATAAACATGGCCTCAATAATACGCTCCCCCCGCCCTCTCCACCCATCTTCTTTCCTGCGGACCCCACCCAAATGTACATATAGATATACCCCAAAACGCCACCTCGGCATCCCCCCGGCCTACCTCCTCGACGACTACATCCCCCGCTACCAACTCCTTTCCTCCGTCGACGCCTCCAAAAAGCGCTCTCTGGCCTACGCCCACCTGCAGAACTGCAACCTCTGTCCGCGCCGATGCGGCGTTAACCGCTTCCAGGAGACGGGAATGTGTCTGATCGGCGCCGAAACCGCAAAAGTGAACACCATCGCCCCGCATCGCGGCGAAGAACCCTGCATCCAGGGGTTTCATGGCTCGGGGAGCGTGTTTTTCTCTGGCTGTAATATGCGGTGTGTGTTTTGTCAGAATCATGTAGGCTTCCCCTCCCCTCCCTTTGATATAACTTGAGTTTTGTGGGTAGGGTGTGTGATGTTGATGATAATGGGAATGAGTAGGATATAGCACACAAAAAAGCCGGACACGATCTCACGCCCACCGAGCTAGCAGAGTGGTACATGAAGCTTCAAACAGTCGGACACGTACACCACATCAACCTAGTGACACCGGAACACGTCGTCCCGCAAGTCGTTCTCTCGATCCTCGATGCAAGAGACATGGGACTGAAGATCCCCATCGTGTACAATACATCCAGCTTCGACTCCCTCGATTCATTACATCTCCTAGATGGACTAGTGGATATTTACCTCCCTGATTTCAAAGTCTGGAAGGGAAGTACCGCGAAGCGATTACTTAAAGCGGAGGAGTATGTCGAGACCGCGAAAGAGAGTATCAAGGAGATGCATCGACAGGTAGGGGATTTGAGTTTCACCTCTGATGGGATTGCGAAGAAAGGGGTGTTGTTGAGACATTTGGTGATGCCGGGTTTGGAGGATGAGGGGAGGGAGATTGTAAGATGGTTGGCGGAGAATGTCTCCAGGGATTTGTATGTCCATGTTATGGAGCAGTATAGGCCGGATGCGTATGTGGGGAGGAGGAAGAGGGGAAGGGGTGCAGATGGAGATGGGGATGGGGAGGTGAGGTATAAGGAGATTAATCGGGCTGTGAGGGAGGAGGAATGGAGTGGGGTGAGGGAGGCGGCGGTGCAGGCTGGGTTGTGGAGATTTTGTGAGGTTAATGAGATGGGGGGGTTCCATCTTTAGTTTGGGATGTATAATACTCTATTCTGACTGGGATTTCAAACCCATTGTAGCTCAGCCCTGAATCATCCCCGCAACAGGCCGGGAGGCTGAATCCCGAAAGTTTATACCATACAGCACCAGCAAGCTTCAAGTTATATCACAGTGATTCCGCTACCACCGATAAGTAACCAACATACAGCATAGAAGCTTCATCAATCAATCAAATAAGGTGCCATCCCCAACAGCAACAATCCAACAATCCACAATGTCCACCACGCACACTCTCCCCTCCCCAACCTCTCTAGCCCTAACAACCCAATACCCACCACGTCCCTACCACGGAATCCAAGAATGCAAGCGCGCCGTCCTCACCCTCTTCCATGACCGTCTCCACCCACAAGCCAACAACACGACAGACCAATACCTCACCTACAACAACATCACCCCAGCTTCATTCCACTCGCTAACCAGACTCCGCTACCGGCTCCAAGCCCCCGTCCGATTCACCTACTTCCCCACGATCTCAACCCTAACAATCAGAGTCCTGACCCGAGCCACCGAGCAGGCCTATATGATATTCCAATACAAGACAGCAGCAGCTCTAATCGACATGGGAATCGAACTTGCCGAGTGGGTACCATATGCAAGATCTGCTGCTGTATACACAGCCACGGCGCTGGCACCAGGGTCGCAGAAGGAAGCCGACGCCGCGTTCAAAAACAGGCTGTTGAGACCCAACAACGAAACCGACTGGCCTCATATGGTCATTGAAAGTGGTGTGTCCGGGTCATTGGCGAGATTGCGACAGGATGTGAATTGGTGGATTGGGTGCTCGGGGGGAGAGGTTCTGATTGTTTTGTTATTGGTGGTGGAGTGTGTGGAGAGGAAGTTGATCATTGAGAAGTACTTTCCACAGTATATTGGGAGGAGGCAAGGTGATAGTGGGCCGGTTACGAGAGCACAGGCTGCGCTTGATGGGTTTGTGCCGCGGCTTGTCGCGACGACGGTTGTTGATGTGAATGCACAACCGTCTGTGGTGGTGGAAGGGTCTCCGCTGGTTTTGGATTTTGAGAGGGTTGTTGGAAGACGGCCGGTTGGACCGACAGAGCATGATGTCGTTATTGGGACGGCGAGTTTGATTGAGATGGGTGAGTGTGTTTCTTGGGATATTGAGCATGATGTATGCTAGTTGGGTTAGTATGTTGGAAGGGTAAAATGATTGGTTACTGCGTAGCATGGGACAAGACAAGTATTTGTCGTCTGGGCAATATGGTATTATTTGTGTACAACATTCACTTCTCACCTATTTCCGCTACTTTTTGGGGCTGTGTTAGAAGTCGTCATTTTCTACTTATCTCACTTTGTTACCATTCTCTTCCTCCTCTTGCCTCATCTAACAACTGTCATCGCCACGCCGTCAACTATATTTTGTCTGGCACATCGTTTGCTGTGTGGCTTGCCACGTCCTTCACTCTGTTGTTTGCTGCACCATCTACTCTGTCATTTGCAGTGTTGTTGTCAGCTGCCACATTGCCTCCTACGCGTTTGGTACCTCGTCTGCTACGCGTCTAAATTGTACCTTTCGCCTCGTTCTGCCTGACAATCGATCTCCCCAAGTTCAATCGTTGATGCTTGTAAGTTCCGCCCCCGGGCCAAAGGTAGTCCCGAAAACTTACAGTATGCTTATGTCACTGGCAAACTCGCTAATCAACGAAGCTGAAGCAAGTTATCGTCCCGTTCAATGGCAGACAGCGAGGATGAGGAGTCCACTCCTCTTACTGGAGTAACAGAGAGCGTACCAGGCCCATCTGCGATGTCGTCTTCGATCATATTGCCTGCGTCAGCCACCTTGGCCATGACTAAACTTTACCCGCCTCGTACGTTCAATAGTCTCGACGATTGCAAGACAGAGATCTCGGCCCTCTGGGCTCGCCTGAGAGAGAGAGATGTCAATCAGGTCCTATCCTACAAGCATGTACGACCAAGTGCGTTTGTTTACCTGGAAAAACATCGCTGCCAGCTGGGGACGTCTGTCAGGTTCACATACCATGAGGATATTGAAACACTTTTGATAAAGATCCCCCTGGAACCACACGAGGGAGCTCAGCGGAGCATAGCGGAGGACACGGCAACCATGTTGAGTAACATGGGTGTTGAACGCGATGAGCGTTGGCCTACGGGTGCTGCAACGTACAAGATATCCCCAACTTCCGAATCGGCTAAAGAAGGAGACAGCACGTACAGGAATCGCATCCTGAGACCTAATGAAGGAGACTGGCCCCACTGGGCGATTGAATCCGGGGTATCCGAGTCGTTACCGCACCTGCGTATGGCTGTGGATTGGTGGATAGGCAAATCAAGGGGGCGCATTGGCCTGGTTCTGCTTCTGGATATTTCACGGGCCAGAAAACTTATCACCATCGAAAAATACGTTGCGTATGCCCGGCAAGGTCCGAGAACGAGAGCGCAAGCGGCCGGTGCTGTTCATGTTCGTCGGTGCGTTTCCACCATCGTCGTCAATCTGAAGGCCAACCCTCCTTCCGTCCAGGGTGCCCCGCTGATTTTGGAGTTCAAGAAAATTGTCGGACGGCCTGCCGTTAATCAAGAGCGGGATGTGGTTTTTGATTCTGCTGCGCTGCTGGCAATAGCGAGGGGAGTTTTTCGAGGAATGTCTTAGGTTGGTTGAGATTGTGAAAACCGGGGGATTGGGGAATAAGAACGACAGTTGGGTGAGTAAGGTGAAGGGTATTATTATCACCATCCTATAGTCGCTCCGAGTCAATGGACCGATTCACAGATCCTTGGTCAATTGCATCTAGGCAATTTAATCAGGGGATATCTCATCGATCAGTATAGGAGACACTTCATTGAAGCATACCAGTTAAAGGAAATCTAGATAGATATAGGGAATCATCCTGTGAAGTACCCCAGCACTATTCTCATTAACTCTCTCTACTTTTCTATAAAAGCTTCATCTACCGCCTATCTTCATCCTTCTCTCCTTCCTATTTCTCCCCATCCTTCCCCTACGGATATAGAAAAGCCTTTATCTACTATATCTAGAATATGGCCCTAGTTATGATAGACATCACCTAAACGAATATATCAGGACTTTCATCTTGAATCTCTCTTATGTGGCGGCGTTAGCCAACTTCATATTATCCATCCAGAATATCCACATAATACCAAGCAAAGCCCAGTACCAGAACTAAGAGGTGGAGGAGTTCAGCGATGCCGAAGACGAGGCAGCGCCAAACGCGGCACTTCTAGTCCTTCTTCAACAAATAACGCACATGGTGGAGGGTACCGGTCTCGAATTGGTCCTCAACAAAACTCATCTTGTCGCCGACCTTATAAATGGGCGATAATATAACGCCTATACCGATGATGCGCTGAGAAGGGCCGGTGACTTGGAGCTACCAGAAGAAAAGTTCCGGCATGGTATCCAACATACATCTCCAGAATGCCGGATGTGAGTCTCAATTACGCGTGATGGTTGAACAAGACGCCATGATATACTCGCAGAGAATTTAAATACACAGTGACAAGACCTGCCGTGAACACACCAACCCGAGTAAGACAATTATTGTGAAACTCCTGTCCCTAGGCCCTATGTCATCCAAGGTACCGACTATGATCAGATCAAAAAGGGACATAGCATAGCCCAGCACAGCTCCTCGGCTACATGGCAATTGACTTGATGTCTTTACCCAACAAAGACCACAGGATGAGGCCCAGGAGGCTATGATATAGGGTAGGAGATGTGGTGAGGGAGGGTATCGCTGGCGATATGTTGATAAGATAGCTTGGTATGGAAAGGACCATATAGCCTATGCGGTGTTGTCTAACAGCTTTCCTGTTGCCTCGTCCTGCCTGGCGATCACGTTCGACGTTATCGAGTACAAGCGTTGTCCGAGCATACCTCACTTGCTATTTCGTCACCTACTAGTACCGGCCGCCAAGCTCATTTCTTTACCTGGAGAACAACCGTAATAGGTTGCGTAACCTTGTCCGACTTACCTACTATCCGGACATTCAGACTATGATCGTCAAAGTCCCGCTGGCGCCACACGAGAAGGCGCATCAGTTAATTTCAAGTAAGACATTATCCATCTTGGATAACATGGGGATCGACTGGGATCAGCAAATGCCCACAGGTTCCGCCACATACACTGCGCCTCTGGATGAAAGGGTGTACAGAGTTATTCATCGAGCTAATGGGGATTTATATACTCTTTCTTACACTCGATACTAAACCGCTTTATTATAGAAACCACCCATTTCTAAAGAGGTCCTCTATTGGGTTTAATTAGCTTCTGGATATTTCAGGAATCCCTGGTGTTTAGTCCATTTTTACTAAAAGGATCCTTGGGCGTGGTCCATAGCATCACTGGGTATATTGACCGGTGGTGCTTGCTAGGCTGCCTTGCGACTATGATATTCATAAGGATACTAGTCAATGGGGGTGTGACATATTCGAGAAAGTTGTGGGTCGGTCAATCAGGATACCTCAGGGGACATGTAAAAAGAAGAGAAAGGCTAGGATAGAGCCGAAGGCCAGAAACGGAGGAAGAAATGTTGTCTGGCAATGACAGAGAAGACAAAAGTCATCTAGTCCGGTCCAAGCCCAAGTGGAAGTCGGAGCCGGAGCCAGTTGACACATAAGCCTTGGAAGTGCAAGAATGGGTGCAAATAAATTTCATGTTCCTGCTATGTTTATATTACAAGGTAGCCTGTGATCTTGCCGCAGCAATGGGCAGGACGGTCCATGAAGTGTGGGGAATTTTTTCTTTTTATCATATTTAGCGAAAGTCGGCGGTGATACTACTAGATATATAGTGACTTGTACCATGATACTAGTAACTGGATAGGTGTAGAACTCGCTGTAAATATATCCTACTAAATAAATTCAAGCCTGGATGGTCTAATTCTGGTTATTGAGAGTGAGGTATCAGAATCAAGGCCTTTGGCTGAGTCAATAGAGAATTATATCAATTCATCCATTACAAAAACTCTTCTCCTCATTACCAATTCTTTCGCCTCTGGATCCGATAACGCGTAGTGTAGCACCGCATGCTTTCCATCTCCAACCTTTTCAAACATCATCGTTCGCACCCTCGCCTTCTCCGGCACATACCCATTAGCATCGGCTGCCTCCCCTTCCAGCTTCGCTATTTCCCGCACCATGTATAAGTATGACATTGAGTCATGCAGTCCTTCACGATGCGGCCATGTGCGGAACAACCTCAACACACGCTCTCGGATACCCACATCGCGGCACTTGATCCCTACCGAAAACAATGGGACGAAGACCCCAATATCGGAGATGACGTTGGGAAGTGGCTGTTGCTTGTGGGCGTATTCCGTTTGAATACTGGCAACGATCTGCTCTGTCAAAATTACGGCTCGGGTCCATCGTGCTAGGAATCGGTCGTAGATGGTCTCGGTGAGATCCATGAAGGTGGCGATATAGGTACTCATGACGATGTGACTGACGCGGATTGTATCGATAGCTCGAGTTTCCTTGGGCGAGTAGTGTTGGGCTTGGGACACGTATGTCTCAAAGGCGTTGATATGGCGTTGTATGTTACTGTATTGCCGTTGTCGCTCGACATAGAGAGGATAATGATCTGCAGAGCAATCTCGAAGCTCTGCTTCGCAGCGCGTCCAGAAGCGCACCATGCTATCAATCAACGGGTCCAACGTATCCTTTGCCTCAATTAGACTGCGAATTTCTATACTGTCGTAATGCACCGTGGAGAGATGCGCATCCAATGGTTGCAACCTCATCACTGAATCCTCGCTGAAATGCGCTGCCTGGACCGTCAACTGCGCAAACATATGCGTGAAAACCGCGTCCTCTTCTCGCTCACTATCATTTTTCGGACCAGCGGGAAGGGATCTGAATATTGCTTCCCTCGCTTTCGGGCCAGTCTCATTCATAAGGATGTATATCCCATTTCTCAGATGCACCAATATGTTTCCGTAATTATCTTGCAATAACTCTAGCACCACAAAGATCACACAGCATACCAACGCTGTAATCCGTAGCTGGGGATCCCCGGACCCGGATGCAAGGCGGCGACGAAGAACCGCAATCGCCCGCCCGTATTGCTCCAGTGCAAAGAGCTGATAATCGTTATTCATACCAGCTACACCCACAGTCGTAGTTTCGTGGAATGCCCCCAGCGCTGCGACAGCGTGTCCAACTGCCGGCTCCATCTGACTCATCTGTAGCACAAGGCGTTGCCAGAGTTCCGAGTCACATAACCCGGTCAGCATGGGCATCGTATATGTCTGAAATAAGGCGAGACAGCGGCGCTCGTCGGCTGTCATACCGGGCAGGTTGGTGGAAATGTAGTTGTGCAGGTGACTAGCGTGTCGAAGGCGCGCTTTGATGGGGAGCTGAAACTGCGGGGATCGGTCGCAAGTACGACCTGTCGATGTGCAGTTCTTGCATGATGGTCCTGGTGTCTCGTCGCATTTAATCCGTCGTGCACGACACGTCCGGCACCCTGTTCGAGACCGCGGTGAGTACTTCTTCAGGCCTAGGGTTTTGGAGCCCATCGCGGGAAACACGTTGTAACATGTCCAACTCTGGCACTTGGTAGATGGTTAAACAGTTAAAGAGTGAGAATTCGGGCCGAGCCGATGGGCCGTGGAGCGTCCCAAGCGAGGGCTCCGAACTAGCCTGGATGGTAGCTTCATCACTGTAAATGAAAGGCGCACAATGTCCTTAATTAGAAGCTATCCAAGTCTTATCAGTCTCGAGAGTATTGTAGAACCACGAATAAAGTACACTCCTGCAGATTCTACATTCCCTGTGGAGCCTATCGTGCAGCAAAAATTACTGAACCCCTGCAAACAACCCTTGGATTAATTGCAACCACGGACCAGTCAGGCTAGTCAGCCCTCAGAAAAGCGATCTACCGATCATTCCACTCATTGTCAAACCTTGGACCCGCACGAGGCAGGAACGCTCCCCGCTGCCCCTCCTCCGCGTCATCATTGGTGTCTTCATCCTCCAACGCAGCGTGCGTGATCCGCTGCTGACTGCGTGCCTGTCTGCCAAACTGCATTGTCATCCAGCTCGGTCGCTGACGCAGGGCCTGGTATAACGCAACCTGTAGTTACCTTTGTAAGATATCACCTATAACGAAGCACATACACAGACCTTCATGAGTAGAGTCAAAATAGCAGCTGCAAAAACCATCCATGAAGCACTCTGCTGCTGCTGTCTCCACGGGACCAGACAGCTTGTCCCGTAATTGAATTGTACCTCACAAGCATCATCCCCGGTGGTCTTATCCTTGAACGGCCACGCTCGGTCATGGATACTCCGGAATCCGCAGCAGCGGAACTCGTCCTGAATAGCACGGATCGGTTGAGCATCTTTCGCGCGGAAGTACGACTGCCATTCCTGCTCCAGTCGGCAGGTTGTGACGCTCTCTGGGTATAGATAGGCGAGGGCCACGGTGGCGATGACTGTGGTTATGATGGATTGGAGGTGGTTGATGACGGGAAAGAATCGTCGCCAAGGGCTAGATGACTGGCGGTTATCTGCAGCTGGCTGGGCGAGTTGATTGACAAGATATAGTGCCAGTGCTGTAAGCGGAGGGAAGAGGGTGGCGATGGCTGGAACCCATTCAGGAAGGGGAAGGTAAAGTGAAGCTGTACGAGACCAGGACAGCCTGATGAGATGAATGAGCTTGATCCTCGATGGCAGACATCTGTGTCGAGAGTGAGAAGATCACTTACGCTCCAAGAATGATAGCGATAATTGCAAACTATCAGATGAAACGATGACTTGTCAGTGGGTTTTCTAGAAGGTAGTGGACTTGCTCATACCGCTGCTGCTACTGTGGAAGCCACCGTGGGCAATCCGTAGACAATAGCCATGCTGATTTTGATGCTAGACGATGAAAGTGATGGATTATGAAGCTGAAAGCTTTCCCTAATTGTACATTGAGTGAAAGAGAAGAGAACAAGCTGTTGGGAGGGTGAAGTGAAGGGGATGGAGTTGGCCAGGCGGGGTCGGCGCTTGCAGCTGCTGCGCACATGTGTCAGGCAGAAGCCATGGTTAAGCAATGCTCCCATGGTCTTGACATCTCCATCAAGCAAGCTTACTACCAAACTAAGAAAACCAGGAGCTTAACCTTAGTGTAAGTTCAGTGAACATTCCTTTCATAATGAGCAAATGAGCTAATCTAAGGGGATGTATGAATGGCGGTATATTTGTGGGGTAAATCAGCTAGAATCAATCCATCGATCTATTTTGGGCTCCACTGCCACTGAGATTGGAACGGAACAATGTATACAGCTCAAAGGCGAAAAGGAAAAGATGCCATTGAAACAATTATAATATTGGATTTGGCCTTCTGTTTCCATCCATGTGCATACAGTCATCCAACTCTTGTTGTTTGCCGATCACCAACATCAACCCGCGGATGGTCACCTGGTCCCCATCGGAGCTACCCGCGCTAAAGATCAAGCTAAGATACGCGATGCTCTTCTTCTCCCCGATTCCTTTTTCTGCCAAACTTTCTCCAGCTTTTCCTTGGTGTCGCTACCTGTCTTCACCATGAAACCATACATCGGTATCCCAGCGGTGATAGTGCTTGTTCATCGTGCCTGGTCGCGAAAGTCGCTGACCACCCCCGGCCTCATTGCGGCTGCGCTGACAGCCAGCGCCCATGCTCTTCATCCATGGTCCGCTCCTTTTGTCTTGTTAGGAATATTCTACTTTGGGGGCACCAAAGTTACCAAGGTATATAGCCTTTGCTCACACCATCGATCTGCGGTTAGTAACTGTTGATCACGTACTTGCCAGGTTAAACACGATGTTAAAGCTCGTTTGACGCTCTCCGCGACCGGCTCCGAGGGCGGCGAGGGTCAGCGTACCCACATCCAGGTCCTGGCCAACTCTGTCGTCGCTACAGTGCTTGCTCTCCTTCATACATATGTTCTTGCGGGACAACCTGCAAGCGCAACACAGTGCTTTTCGAATGGTCATAATGTGGCGGATTTGTTGGTCGTGGGAATAGTCGCGTAAGGCCTATCCCTATTCCTAACCTTTCTTATGCGCGTACTAACAGGTCATCGTGGTAGGAACTACGCCGCTGTCGCCGCTGATACATACTCCTCCGAGCTTGGTATCCTATCCAAGTCCAAACCCCGCCTGATCACCTCCCCCACGTTCCGCGTCGTTCCTCCCGGTACCAATGGCGGTGTAACTGGAACCGGACTCCTAGCAGGAGTGCTGGGTGCTTTTACAATTGCTGTGTCGTCCGCTGCTATCCTACCTTTCTGCGCCGAGGCCGATACCCTGTCGATGCTCAAGAGCCGGGCCCAGTGGATCTTGGCCGTGACAATGTGGGGAGGTTTGGGCAGTGTGCTGGATAGTGTCTTGGGTGGATTGCTGCAGGCTAGCGTGGTCGACAAGAGAACAGGAAAGATTGTCGAAGGGGCTGGTGGTCAGAAGGTCAGTACATGCTTAGCATCTACCGGATTGTTAGCAGAGGATAGTACTGATAATATCTTGCAGGTCCTTGTTCACCCCTCTTCTACTAAGCCTGGTGTCCCAGCTGATACCACCGGTCTGAAGCCTGCTGGGTCAAGCTCGAGTGCGCAGGTACACGCCACCGAGGCAGTAGCTAACACCGCCACTCTGAAAGGAACCAGGGCTACTGGAACATCGACGGGAACATCCGCAGGGGAAACTGAATCGGGACACGAAAGCCGGCGGGTAGAAAGTGGACGGGACCTCTTAGATAACAACGCCGTCAATCTTCTGATGGCCTTTACGATGAGTGTTGGGGCTATGGGCGCTGCAAGCTGGGCTTGGGGTCTGAACATTGCTGACTTGGCTTTGTGGTAGCTATTGAAGGCTTGAGGCGTATCTATGATCGCAATGCTTTGAAACGATTCTTATGACTTTAATTGAGTTGAACTATATCAAAAAGTGGGTATATGCGAAAGGTAGGAAGGAAGAGAAGGAGATATGCATGTGACACTCGCTAGTCGGGCAGGTGCAGAAAACGGTATGAAAGAAGCCTTATATATAAACAATATGAAAGACCATTACTCCAACAGTATCCCACATCCTCACCAAACCGGATGTTCCCTGGCCAAAAAGGCAGACCAGCACGCAGCGGGTTAGCGCTGATTATACTTCTCTTGGACGACGGTTTGGTACCGTCGTCTCTCCCTCTCCAAATAAGTCAACGTGACGCTCTGGTCTCGGTGATAGTCAATGAAATCCTCCCATTGTTCTTGTGGAACAATTACCTCATAAGGCTGTTCCGAGAAAATATCTGTCGGCCGGAACCTGGTCGCCATGCCCTTGGGGTGCATCTCGAAAGTGAAAACCTTTTGCTTCCCACCAAGTTTGAGTCCACTGGAATCTTCCGGTTGCCTCTCGAGCAGGGACTTGGGGCGGGCTATTCTCCGCCGATGCATAGGCTGTGGGATGGTATCTTGCGACAACAAGTGAAGGCTATCCTCCCATCTTCGTTTCGATTCTCGGTTGTCTGGCACTTCAATAACCCCTTGCATCTTCTGTGGTTGCATCGCACGTCTTTGAGCGTCCTCCAGCAAGCGCTGTCGCTCTAGATCGCTCAATCCCGGCTGACAGAGTGGCAGGTAAAACGCCATTGTGCTAGCCTCAGGTTGCTTGGTGATCCATAATTGGCATTCGCTGAACAAATCGTACGCCTTATCATATTTCCCTTGGGCAAACTTCACCCGAGCCTGCCAGTACCTGCACCGTGCGAGCACTGGTTTGTCGTCATACTTTTCTGCCAAATCCCGAGCCTTCTGGGCCTCGGATTCAGCCTCCCGGGTTTGGCCTTTTCCAAGGTAGAGCTCTACGCTTCGAAGAGCGGACCTGATATTGCTCATGTCGACGACCATATCACAGTAAGATATGAGTGTGTCGAGTGATTCGCCACCTGGCTTGTCTTTAAGTGCTGGCTTGGCGTACTTTTCTTTGTGTGAGTACTTCTTATATGGTGAACAGGGAGATGGAGGTGGTAGTGGGTAGTCAACGTGTTCGCCGTGGCTGTCAGGATCAGGGAGTTGAATTTGTAACGAGGCATGCTCTCCCTCATCTGCACCGTCGCTTTCATTTCCGCTGAATAAATTATCAGCCTGGGTTCGCCATAACGGGTCCTCGTCATCGTTTGCAAATTGGTCAGTGGAGCTTTGATCATACGAAGCACCCTCGTTGTAATTTGCTTCCATGAGTATATGCAATGCCTCGTCTTCGCCGGCGTCCATATCTGAATGTGCGTATTCGTCGTCGCTGTCTGCTCTGATGTTCAAGGCGGCGTCCCGCATTTGCGAGTAATTGCGCCTGCTTGGTGACATTTTGTGGCATGTTAAAAGTGGTGCTCAACTTACTAAACTTCAAACACAGGGTCCTGGGTTGTCATGGCCTATTTATATCCTTAACAATTTCAAGAAGAGGTGTATGCCCACTACTAGTCTACGGTATTTCACTACTGAAAAGTATATCGACAACCATTCCATTAGAGATTATTTCACAGGGCTTGCTAAATGCGTTGGAGACAAGTTGGTTGAAACTGTGCTCTTTGGTGATCAACGGAGATATCCCGAAGTACTACCGATGCTCGTATATATAATGCTTTTGGCCGCCGCTATACATCCATCTGATCATGTACTACTTGAGAGGTCTTTTGTTATCTTTTGTTCATCCGGCGGAATCTCTCTGCTGATCTTGTCTCGGCAGCTGTTCAACCCTAATCGTAATGAATAGGCAGCTACACTACTGTGCCTGAGAGGGTTCGTCCGTCACTGATCGGACTCACGCGGATATGCTGAGTAACTTTTATGACTGCTACCGTAGTGCTGATGAATCTTCGTTGCTTGTTTCTGACCCTAGCTCACCACTGATCTGACTCAAGCACTAGTCAATACGAGCTCCACTGAGGCATATTCCATGCGATACGGATTGAAGGAGGGATGTGTCCAATGCCAATCAGACAAGCCTGATGGATGTATAAAATGGTGGTTGGGAAAAGCCGTCCCGTGATGACAAACTGCCTCAAACAGGCAACAGCAGCGAACCAAACCAGACAAACCAAGGTGGGGTACCCAAACAACACAAACAGTACCCAACACGGTAATCCCCGCTCCAAAAGTAAGTCATGCAAACCAATGCAATCAATGCAAACTCAACGTCATGCTCGTGTCGGCGCTTCCTTCTGGCCCTCGGCGGTTGGACCTCTTTTCCGCATGCGTCACTGGCCTGCGGTGCTTCATCCATTGGATTGCTGTGACACCTGGTCGTTCCTTGGAAAGTAACCCGGATGGTGGGTTCCCAAGCCATCCCACCGGAATGTGTACCCTGCCCAGTATGGTCTGATTGACGTGCAGGCCGGCCTCAACGGTATTTTCCGGCCTGCGGTGGGACAAATCGCCCTGAGCTTACACAATGCGGAGGGTGTCCAGACCATCTCGATGACCCAGTCAGTCATGGTGGGCTGTTTGCAAGGGCCCGCTTCCCTCGATAGTGCAGGAACAGCTGCCCCTGATATTCTTGAGAGAGGTGGGACGCGCAGCGTGATACTGGTCTCTCTGATACACCCCACGCCAACTTCGAGTCTGACCTGTCGAGCTATTTATCCAGTGGTGGATCTACTCGTAGATGATCAATCTTGCATACCCTCGCTGCAAGGACTGGACGCTTCTCCTCATCTACCCCTCATTAGCCCCCCCGATACCATCCGCGGTTTGCGCGCGCATACAATAATATAAGCTCTGTGGCTTACCCTTGAACTTGTACTTTTTTTCTGAAGTGGCTTGTATAGCTGTTGCTTTTCGACTTGCTTTATTGTTGCTAGAGTTCTGCGCTCACCAAAAATGTCACCCTTATGTCCGGTCGTCAAAGGCGTTGACATCGTCGATATCCGTCAGAATGACGTGAAGTTTTCCTTGGTAAATGATATCCAGCGAGGTATAGATCCTCCGGCAGGAACTTGCCGTTCCATGCCCACGATGCTTCTGTACGATGCTCAGGGGCTTAAGCTGTTCGAGGACATTACGTACTTGGAGGAATATTATCTCACAAACGCGGAGATTGACGTTCTACGGACACATGCGAAGAGGATCGTTGAACGCATCCCGGATAGTGCGCAATTACTGGAGCTAGGTAGTGGGTGCGTCTTCCTTCCGCTTGGAGCTTGTATAGAGATAGGGTGCAGATACGGGATTCTAACATATAGTAGCAATCTGCGCAAGATTGAGATTCTTCTCCAGGAATTCGAAGCGGCGAGCAAAAGAGTGGACTACTATGCGTTGGATCTCTCGCTCTCGGAGTTGGAGCGCACTTTCTCGGAAGTGTCCCTCGATCAATATCAATATGTCGAGCTCCATGGCCTCCATGGCACGTACGACGACGCCCTTACCTGGCTGGAAAACCCCGCGAATCGAAAGGTCCCAACGGTGATCATGTCAATGGGTTCGTCAATAGGAAATTTCGATCGTCCTGCAGCGGCCAAATTCTTGTCGCAATTTTCCAGGTTCCTGGGGCCGTCGGACTTGATGGTGCTTGGGTTGGATAGCTGCACCGACTCGGATAAAGTGTACAAGGCATACAATGATTCCAAGGGTATTACGCGGCAGTTCTACGAGAACGGGTTGTCGCATGCGAACGCTGTGCTTGGATACGAAGCATTTAAACTCGATGAATGGGACATCGTGACGGAGTACGATAATGTCGAAGGGCGGCACCAGGCTTTTTACGCGCCAAAGCGGGACGTAACTATAAACGGGGTATTGCTCCAAAAAGGCGAGAAGCTGATTTTCGAGGAGGCATTCAAATATGCCCCCGAGCAGTGCGATCAGCTTTGGCATGATGCGGGTTTAATTGAGAACGCGGAGTTTGGCAATGAGTCTGGGGATTATCGTATGTCATCCTTTGGCAATGTGCTACGACTACCCATGTTGCACTGCATTGTGCACAGCATGTTACACTTTTGAGACCGTTATACTAACATGATCTGTCGGGCAGTTATCCACGTGCTCTCTTCGGCTACCCTCAACTTTCCAACGAGCCCGCCACAATATGCGGCGCAATCTGTGCCGAGCTTTGAGGAGTTCCAGTCTCTGTGGACGGCATGGGATATTGTCACCAAGGCCATGGTTCCCAGAGAGGAACTTCTTTCGAAGCCAATCAAACTGCGAAATGCATTGATTTTCTACCTCGGCCACATTCCTACTTTTCTCGGTCAGTATTTGTTTGCCTTTCCCAGGATCAGGCGTAACGGACATATGTTGACAAGAGTAGATGTTCATTTGACCCGAGCGTTGGGCGAAAAGCCAACGCACCCCAAGTCATATCGACTCATCTTCGAACGCGGAATTGACCCCGATGTGGATGACCCTGAAAAATGCCATTCTCACAGCGAGATTCCGGACGAATGGCCTGCCCTTGGAGACATCTTAGACTATCAAGTGCGGGTTCGAAGTAGGGTGAGGTCCATCTTCGAGAAGCATAATGTGGCTGAGAATCGGGTGCTCGGCGAAGCACTCTGGATTGGGTTTGAGCATGAAGCCATGCATTTGGAAACGTTCCTTTACATGCTTATCCAGAGCGAAAGAACACTTTCGCCTCCAGCTGTTCCACAACCGGATTTTGAGAAGCTATTCCGCGATGCCCGGCAAGAAGCAAGACCGAACGAGTGGTTCTCGATCCCCGAGCAGACGCTTTTGGTTGGTCTAGACGATGATGGCCATTCGGTTCCTCGTGACTCTTATGGATGGGATAACGAAAAGCCCCAGAGAAAGGTAACAGTCAAAGCATTCGAAGCACAAGCGCGACCCATTACAAATGGAGAGTACGCCAAGTATCTACAGGCAAATCATCTGCCTCAGAAGCCAGAATCTTGGGTCTTGGTCAAGTCTGATCAGACGTACCCGACATGCAATGGTGTCAGTCAAAGCAGCAGTTACGCTACGAACGACTTTATGGCACACTTTGCCGTTCGCACCGTGTTTGGCTCCGTCCCGCTCGAGCTCGCCCAGGACTGGCCGGTGATTGCGTCGTACGATGAATTGGCAAAGTATGCCAAGTGGGTGGACTGCAGGATACCGACCTTTGAAGAGGCGAAGAGTATATACGCGCATGCAGCTCGACTGAAGGAAACTAGTAACGGTCTTTCAAACGGTCATAGGTAAGTAGACCGCTTCGCTTTAATGCACAGGGCTTACTTTCGTAGTAATACCAACGGAGTCAATGGACACGGGCACAGCGAGACGAACCCCCTACGGCCTCACACCCCCGACCACCAACCGGTACAGCACCCTTCGCGCGAGTCTCTGCCGGTGTTTGTTGAGCTCGACAACTGTAACGTCGGCTTCAAACACTGGCACCCCACCCCAGTCATCCAGAACGGCGACCGACTCGCCGGCCACGGAGAACTGGGAGGCGTCTGGGAGTGGACGAGCACGGAACTTGCACCCCACGACGGGTTCGAGGCCATGCAAATCTACCCCGGATATACATGTAAGCTTGTCGCCAAACACTTACAAACAAAGCTAATCAAGAACAGCCGACTTCTTCGACGGAAAGCACAATGTCATCCTCGGAGGGTCATGGGCGACGCATCCACGGATCGCCGGCCGCACTACCTTGTAAGTCGCCCATCTACAAGCCAGCTGTCCACGAGCTAATCTATTCAGTGTAAACTGGTACCAGCGGAACTACCCCTACCCCTGGGCAGGAGCCCGGCTGGTGCGGGATGTCTGATTAAAACATCTAGTATAGAGTAGGTATAGGTACTTGATGCAATAGCAATTCCCAGTTCGCCACCGGATCGACAGTAGAATGTCCATCACGCGGGGCTCTCGGAAGCGGGCATACATAATCCTGCCTTACATCACAAACCATGTAGCTCTATACTTCATCGTAGTAACCCTAAGGCACCTCCCGACAACATGACGCCATACCCCTCCTGACGTCGCCGATAAATGATCCACTCCATCCTCTTCCCCAACTCCCTTCCCCACGTCCCCCATAACCCCTCAATACCCATATTTCACATCACAATGTCCGTCCCCAACATCACCACCATCTCCCCGATAACCAACCGCCCCATTCTCAACCGCACCGGCGCCAACCCCGAAGACATCGTAGGCATCGCCGAATCCGCACAATCAGCCTACCAATCCTTCTCGACATCCACGACCCTCAAACAACGGCAAGACATTGTCTCCCGCGCCCTCGCCAAACTCGAGAAACGAAAAGATGACCTCGCCAGACAACTCACCGAGCAAATGGGCCGGCCCATCTCCTACACAGGCATCGAAGTCGCCACGGCCATCAAGCGCAGCCACTACCTGAACCGCATCAGCGACTCCGTCCTCGGCGAAGAGGGAATCGTACCGGGGGAAGAAGAAACAGGCTTCAAGCGATACATCAAGCGCAAACCCGTCGGCGTGGTACTGATCATCTTCGCCTGGAACTACCCCTACCTCGTCCTCGTCAACAGTTTAATCCCTGCCATCTTGGCAGGTAATGCCGTGGTTCTGAAACCGTCGCCGCAAACGCCCACTGTCGCGGAGGAAGTCGCTAATGCGTTCCATGAAGCGGGGCTGCCGGAGAAGGCGCTTCAGTATGTCCATTCTGGGTCTCCGACGTTACTTGAGAGTCTGGTTCGCTCGAGCTGTGTGAACCATATTTGTTTCACGGGCTCCGTGGAGGGCGGAATAGCTACGCAGAAGGCGGCCTCTGATCGCATCGTGAACGTCGGGCTGGAGCTCGGGGGTAAAGATCCCGCGTATGTGCGCGACGATGTCGATGTCGCCTGGGCGGCTGGGGAGATTGTCGACGGGGCGATTTTCAATAGCGGCCAGAGCTGCTGTGCGATTGAGCGGGTCTACGTGCACCAGGGGATCTACGATGAGTTTGTGGCGGAGGTGAAGAAGGTGCTGAGTGGGTATGTGGTTGGGAATCCGTTTGATAAGAAGACGCAGATCGGGCCGGTGATTTCGAAGCGCGCGAAGGAGGATATCGAGGCGCATGTTGCTGATGCGGTGGAGAAGGGGGCGAAGGATGAGACGCCGGAGAATGAGTCGTTTGAGAATCCTCCGTCGGAGGGGAACTATGTTAGGCCTACGCTGTTGACGGGGGTTACGCATGAGATGCGGGTTATGACGGAGGAGACGTTTGGGCCGGTGATTCCGGTGATGAAGGTCGAGGGGGATGAGGAGGCTGTGAAGTGGATGAATTGTAGTGAGTTTGGGTTGACGGCTAGTGTGTGGACGAAGGATGTTAAGGCCGCGGAGGAAATGGTGGAGAGGGTTGAGGCAGGGACGGTGTTTGTGAATCGGTCGGACTATCCTAGTCCGGTGAGTTTGTCTGTTGACATTGAGAATGATATGCAGATGTGCTAATGGAGGTATAGGATCTGGCTTGGACGGGATGGAAGAACTCGGGCCGTGGAGTGACGCTCAGTCGGTTTGGATTCGAGCAGTTTGTGAAGTTGAAGAGTTATCATATCAAGGACTATCCCAAATAGAGGGGTGCTGGTTTCGTTTGTTAGTTGATGTGTTTTGAGTGATATAATGCCTGATGATCGATAGACCCTGCCATGACAATCCATTCCCAATTCCAATCCCAATCCCAATGTCAATGACACACTCCCAATCGCGTAATCTCAACATAAGCACTAGCCATCCTTCAGAGAAACGACAAGAGGATTGCAATGCCAATGCCACACAATAAGTGGATAACTGCATTCGGCCCCCATCCCCATCCCCATCCCCCAAGTAACCAGCACCAGCACTAGCACTAGCATAGCACCAATACCCACCACGAAGACACCACATACCAGTCAGCAACAACTAGCCAGCCAGCCAGCCAGCCAGGCGGTAACTAATCATCTACTCCGTAGATATGTAGTTGGTTAGTAACGCGAAGAGAAGCCACTGGTACCGCCCAACTATGAAGGACCCTGGCTAAGAAAGATCGCTGTATGGACGGAAGAAACTGCCGGAGGCTGGCTGGTTGGCTGGCTGGCTGTGAGTTCCGGGGCTGAGATGAGATATTTGTAGGTACATAGTATTGTTATTGCAAAGATGTGGTTAATATGGGAGTTCTAGGCATTGTAATGGTATGGGCGGGGGGTGGGTGGTGCATTCTTTGTGTGATGGTTTGCATTCTTGGGGACGGATGGGATGGGTTGACAAGGGTGTTGTACAAAGTACTTTGTAGGAAGGAGGATTATGGAGGGGAGGTATTTGGATTGAAGTAATTTGTATGGTAAAGTTATAGGAAGAGTGCTGAGGTATAGCAGTGAGATTTGATTACTACAGATAGTTGAAGATATTGAAATGAATCGGACTGTATAGAGGGTTAACTATAAGATATCTTGCCTCAGGCAAACATCATCCATGGTATCTATCTACCTGACCCTACCCTACATCACCACCACTACCTCACACTCACATTTAAAAAGACACAGCTACAGCTACAGCTACAGTAGATAAGTCTAGATAATAAACAGACCCTTAATCCATCTCAACTAACTCACCTCATAAACGAATCCCCCATCTCTCCTCTATTTCCCCACTCCACATCACTCCACTCTCATCCCCTACAGATAGATAATATCTCCAAGAATGCTTAACTTCGGTACCTATCACACTATTTACCCGCGGGATCAGCGGCAAATCTCTCACCAGTCAGTTACAGACGCCCGAAAACTGAAGAATATCGGCATTGTTCTGATGCAAGGGATATACCTGTTCCCTTTGTACTGTATACTATATGGAGTACTTGGTATACTACTTACGTAGTAGGTATCGCCACAATACTGTACATCCCTTTATCTCTTTTTTACCTGTCTAGCCAGTAAGTTGTGGGCGTGGGATTGAGTTTCTGGGGTAGGTTAGTCAATTAGTTGATTACTCTGTATTCGGGGTCTGGTAACCATGACAAGAAGACAGATATGTACGTAGTTAAGTTTGTAGTTGTAAGCAGGGGATAACTAACAATGGATGGATAGATACGGAGTTAGTAACTTAAGGGGGATAAAGGGGGGGCCGGAAAGTATTCTTAGAATGTTCGATGCATAACTTGTTACCCTTGCCCCAGTACGTATTACTTACCTACCTATTCTCCTTTCTATGATTTTCTTACTCCGTAGAGGTAGAAGGGGGGCTATTTTTATTCTTATCCTACATGGTACATACATTGAAAAGTTAAGTAGGTAAGAATGTGCCGTGCAACGGAGTACATATTTACGGAGTATCTATTTATCTATTTAGCTGTCTATCTACTATAATACTTACTCCGTAGGTAAAAAAGTATCTATAACTATATTCAAACTATCATTCCCATTGCAGTATTTCTATTCTGGGTAACCCGATGATAAACAAAACAAAATGGGGCCAGCCAGCCTAGCTAGCTAACTAGCCCGCCAAGTTGGGGCCGATCGGTGATCCAAGCCACCACCACTTAGCAGCAACAACTTTTACCCCCATATGGGGATGACGAATGCACAAAGTTAATTCATCAATTACAAGGTACAAACAACTGTGTAATAATAATCATTATTATTATAGTATTCTATGGTATAGTATAGCTATGTATATAGCATGGTTTCATGCAGTCAGCATTCGGTGCAGCGGGTGGTTACATACTTACATACGCCCTGTTTTGGGTACCTACAGATGTGGCATATGTAGTCTACTTTGTTGTGTACATACGTAAGGCTTTCAGTGCCACCTAGTGACCTAGACTATACTATAGTATAGCCAGGTAATGTATGTATGTATGTAGTATGTAGTATATATGTATGATTGCCCAACAATTCTTCGGAGAATATCGCGTCACTCCTTTAATCCGTCCCCCAGTTAAGTCAGAAAGGGGAGTGAGGGAGGAGCATATTTGCTTCTGTGACGGATAAACCTAAGTACTAACTATTACTCGCCTTACTACTCCGTAGTTGAGCTGGACCTGCCAGGGGGGAATGTGTCACCCGCGGGCGCGTAACTTACTAGCAATGCTTCCAATCAATTTCCGGCACATAACATAAGGCTGTCACTTTCGTCGTTGTGTGGATATTACTCCCCCCCATTCAAGGGTAGCATAGCATAGCGTAAGATAGTTGTCGTGCCACAGGATTCCACCCGATCTGCATTTCAGATTTGCACGGGCGAAAAACCGTTTGTCCTGTTCCCAATTCGAATTGGGAAGAGGGCCGAAATCGAACTTTCTTCTTCGTCTCCTCCTGCAGGGCGTTTCGTAGTTTTCTCCATATATCTAGACTTGTTTTCTCTGACCGGTCTTTTTCCTTTCTTTCTCTTCTCTTCCTTCTTCTTACTTCTTCATCTTCTGTTCCTTGTTTTTTAGTATTCTTTTTATTGTTTTTCTTTTCTTGATGCGCCCAATGCCCTGCTGCTGCTGCTAACTAAAGAGCTTTTTTGTTCTGCTGCCGACTAGTCCTTCCTTTGGTTCTCACTCACTCAGTTACTTCTTGAACTCACGCTCGCTCACTCGCTCGCTTCTTGTGTTTCGTGTTTCGGTGTTGCCGCTCGTTTTAAACCAAGCCCTACATACCTCTTTGTCACTCGTTTCATATTGTCACATCGCCATTGTCGTCATCGTCATCATCATCATCGTCATTGTGATTTGATTGATAGACAGCCACTCGCTTTTTGTTGATCGATCTGCTTGTTGCTTGAACTAGCACCATCTTTGCTTTTTTGTGTTTCTTAATTGGCATCGGTCCCTGCCTTGTAGATAGTGACCGATCTCGATCTCTCCTTCATTCCCACCTTACGACACTCGCTTTTATCATCACCACAAACATCACCACCACCAGAACAACAAACACCTGAAGTCACTATGGAGTGTTTTCGGCAGATAGCTCGACTTGTCAAGTCTCCCTTTCGGCGCGAGAAGCAGCAGAAGGTGCTGGAGATTGTGAGTCCAACTGCTTCTGATCCCATGATGTTTATCCTCATGCTAATGCGGTCTGCATTCAGGGACCCCCAACCGACTTTCGGAAAGAGGAATTGCCCGCCTTCTTCTCAGATGACGAGTCAGTACCCTCATCTCCTGACTATTATGCTACCCATCTAACCATCTGCAGTGCGGCAACCTTGCACAGCCGGGGTTCTACCCTAGAGAAGGAGAAGGAAGCGGCGGCCACCGCCATGGAACGTCAACCATCGACACGAGACAAGATCAAGACGCATGTCCGGAGGCTGAGCGTCCGGGTTGCGAGACCAGTTTCTGATGCCCACGATGAGCAATGAGCCGATCGAATCGATGCCAGCTGCACATGCCGGTTGCATATCAGCATCAACATCAACATCAACATCAACATCATCGACAGTTTATCTCGTTACGCAAGCATGGAAACCTCAACATAAATCTCCTCTCAGCGTGATTCACGGTCTGCAACGTCAAAACAAGAATGTTGGAACTTCATTGAGACGCGATTTCTTTGCCTTTGGATCCGGGCCTCGTGGATTTGGTGTTCTTCGACCTAATGACGGGGATGATATCGGGCCCTGCATCTGATTGCTTGACCGAGACGGCTCTGGAAGCCCGTCAAAGTCATCATCGAATATTAATCTCTTCCTAGATTTGGTCGCCCTCGGTGTACTGTATCTACCACTCATAGACTGCACTCTTCTGATTCCACTGTCCCCTGTAGACCGATTATTCATCGGGCTGCTTCGCGAGCTCGCAGTAGTAGGCGTAGGCGTAGCAGTACGATTCTGATGCTGTACACGACTCGGCCCCGTCAGGGTCCTCGTCCGTGCGTCTAGATCGTCGTCATCCGTCGTTTCATCCAGTTGATCGCCGTCCCCCATCGCATCCTGTCGCTCCCTTGCCGCCTCATCGGTAACCGCGCTGCTCCCTGCTGACGCCCCCAGTCCAGCAGCCGCCCGCGTCGTCGACTTGATGCCCTGCATCCCGACCAACGACCGCGCCTTTCGTGGACTAATCAGCAGATCATGCAACGACGTACCCGCCCAAGTATCATCCTCCTGATCATCATCATCCTCCTCCTCTTCCGAATCCACAGCAGGTCTTCCACCCTCCACCATCTTCTGCAGCCCCTCCTTCTGCTGAGCGGACAAATCCTCCGCCGCAGCCTTGCGTTTAGCTTCCTCGCTTTGTGCAGTAACGCCATCGGTCGGTCGAGCGATATTCTGTATGGTCGTAGCATTCTGCAACTTGGCTTCTTTCTTCCGTCGGACGTATTCTGCGTAGTGTAGGTGTTGGGTGAAGGTTTGCGCGACCGCGTAGAATTCGTCTTCCACCATCATGTAGATGTCGTCGTTGTCGAAGCCTTCGCGGAGGTATCTTCACATGCTGTTAGCGTTATACGTTTCCCCAGAGGTATGTAGCTGTGTATGATCACGTACTCTTCAGACGGGCAGCGATGGATGGGAGAGGACGGCGGCGTAGGAGCTATAGCAAGGTGTCAGCGGACTTCAGTATACTCAACTTACAAAGAGAGTCGAAAATAAGGCACATACAAGACCGCATGAAATCGCGCTTCTTCATCCTCGACCCTGGAGTCATCGCTACCTCGGCTTTTGGTGTCACATCGTTGTCATCTTCTTCTTCTTCCTCCTCTCTGGCTCTGGTCTCGCGCTTCACGGTTCGACGCGGTGTATCTGATGGGGAGGCCTTCGGTTCTCGTTTGATGGTTGTTGTCGCTGCGTTGGTTAGCCATGGTAGGTTGCGAGGCATTTTGTCTCTGGTTAGGATAGTGTTTATGAGAAATTAAACATTATGGAGTATTAAGTGAGGAAAGTATGTATGGAAATGAAGAGGGAGGAAGTGTATTAAAGGGAACGATGGTGGTGTCTTGCGACCGCTGATACGCGGCTTCTCCCCGCCTCCGCACGGATTGGTTATCTAAGTTACTTTAGTTGGTGGAGATCCACTTGTCAGCCTCATGATGTTGATATGCTTGTTTGGCTGTTTGAGTTGTTTTATTGATTTTATATGTATTAGGGGTGTGTCTTGAGAAAGAGGCTGTTGTTTCTGTGGGGTTTGTATTGTGGTCATTTTAGCAATGATGTACTCTGCAAGCAGTACGACTGTCTATAACCTACAACTCGTCTGCCTCATATGGTGTAGCGGGTATCTGATTTCAATCTATTCTAATATCACCATAATAAATCCATAATACAGCCTCGTATGCTAACGCGAAACGCCGAGAATATGATAAAGCCCCATATCGAGCAACTTGCCATGGCCCTGGCAGAAAGAGTAATCCACATGAAGAGCGAAAAAGTGAACGAACAACGCCTATCAAAGAAGTGGCAGAAGGAGAAGAAAGCGAAGTAAGCAAGGGAGGTGACGAGAGCATCAGCCGATAACGCAAAGTGACTATCGCTTCACCCTTACGCTTCACCAGGCCTCTTGCTATTGCAGCTCACAATCTTCACCTTGTCCGCGGAGACAGTAGTTTGGTTATCAAGCTTGAACGTAACATCCTTGATCAGGAATGTCCACACTTCATCGCAGAATCGGTAGGTATCGAGGTGTCCCTGTAGTGGTAAGAAGAGCCATGTCAGCCTCATTCGCCTCCTTCATCTCCATCAGACGCAGCCTTCCTTATCCTCATATGTAAGCGTACCTTGAAGGTCAGACGAGCGCGCACTTTGTCCGCCAGCACTTCTGTGATCACGCGATCGAAAGTTGAGAGGATCTTCATGGCGAGCTGAGGCTCGATCCGTCCTTCGTTGATCAGGTCATCGAGGGTATCGGTCAGGGAGAGTCCGAGGCTGTCACATATGGTTAGTGATGCTTTCTGACATGTAGTCGCAGATACTGTCGTACCTGCTCCCGCGATAGAGCTCGTAGTATGCCTGGGCGCTCATTGTGAAGTTGGCAGTGAGGCGACAAGGGAGATTAAGAGAGTGGAAGTGGAGCCGGTGATTGCGATCAGTTGGTCGCGGGGGGTATCTGCACGTGATCTAGATCATGTGATGGACAGGAGCCATTACATCAATGGATGGGCCAGCAGTGTCAGGTTTTCGACATTTTCTTCCAAAAGGTTCTTTTAGGTATATACATTGAACATGTCTTTATTGCTATCATCTCCATTGCTTGTCCGGACAGCTCGTCTGTCAAACGCTTCTCCCGGAGCACGGTATATAGCTTCGACCGCTTACAAACTCGCAGAAACAAAAAGTCAGTAAGATAGTTGTTCGAATTGAATATATTGTTCACATTCAAGGCTAATCGAAACATAGCTCCAGACTCATCGCACCAAAAGCAATCGAATGATGCATCAAATGACCAGTCAGCTCAGAAGCTCAAGCAGGACAAAACCAAAAGCGTTGCTCAAGCGGATCAAGAGCTCCGAGAGCGGCTCGAGCAAATGTCGGGCGATGGTGGCGCTTCTGGAATTGAGTATGAAGATGGCAAGCCTAGTGCCATGAAGCGCAGCGTACGAAACAACATGTTCCGCTATATCTGAGCAGCAGAAGTGAGCTACGTCAAGGAGCATCCCATCATGTCGGGGTGTGTCGACAGGGCCGAATAAAGCCTACTATGGCTACTTTATCCATATCAGCTGTTAGACTGAGTACAAGTCGAGGCCTTGGCGACTGGTGGCCAGCTTAGCTGAGCTAGGCCCACAGCTTCTGATCTGAGCGACCTGTAAAACCTCCCAGCTATGCTAGGCATCTCCTGACAATGATGGACGGCGCTGTGCTCCATCAGGAATGAATTCCCATATGAACACTGGACGGTGCACAGGGAGGCCACGTCAAGAACCATACTAGTTTGGTTGGATGATACCCGTCAAAATTCTGTCAATCTGCTGTGTCCTATGTATGATAATGGCCAAAGGGGGCATAAACAAGACCAGGCCAGCATCCGCTTGAAAAGGACATGCCTGCATGTAGGCTCTATATACCATGACTACAAAACCATAGACTCCAATAAACGCTCGCCAAGCAATCAAGGCGCCAATGTTTTCCGATATCAAAAAATGTGATGAGGGCCCTACCTAAGGTTCACCTGTTGCCCACCATTCCTGCAAGGACACCAGCACCAATGACACCACCGTCCGAGGCTTCCCGTAAGAAAACCGACTTACCGCTCTTCTGCGGGCCGGTCCTCATGATAAGCCTGTCAATATATTGCTGGCATGTTTCCTTGAAATTGGGGTAATGCTGGATGATGCCTCCAGTGTACGCCACGACCAGCTCCTCAGGGCCTGACTGCCAGTCCGCGGGAGTGGGAGTGGGAGATAGGACGGGAACAACCCTACCATCTCTCGGACTTGCTCCCTCCGGGACCAAGGATGATGGGGAAAGACTAGTATTTACGGCGGCCAGATCCGGAGTGCCATTGTACTCAGGCAAAGAGACATTGGCATTCTGCGGCGAACCTTCGTGGCTGTCCACTTTCAGCTCAATCTCCTGCGCACAAGCAAGCAAACCCACAACCGCTGCGGCTATCAACCCGGCGGATCGTCTCTGAACCGTCCTGGCGATCTTGCGAAATACGTTTGCCGACACAGCATCCCAATGCCACTCGCTGTTCTCCGGCGGAGGCATGGAGCGTGAAAGTTCATCGGCAAGCTCCTGGTCCGACCGAGCACGGGCAACATTATCCGAGACGTAAGTTGTTGTCAGGGCATACTCCTGGATGAGCGTCGCGGGCAATACTTTCTTAGACAGCCCACTAACATTGGTAAGATAATCATAAAGGATAAGCCGGATGAGCTCTCCAATATACCGACCACCCGTCAAGTATTCAAAAGGCTGGAATCCGGGTCGCGCGCACGCCCGATCGAGTTCCACATCCCATTTTGTTATGATGTTGAGTTCCTTCAAGGGCGGGTCGGCACCCGCGATTGTCCATTCGGTGTTCACAACCGTCTCCTCCGCTTGCGGGTCCTTTGATTTCACATGCTTCGCCTTGGACTCGTGCAGCATATTCAAGTTCATTGGAATTGTGGCATTGCAGCCGGTACCCACAATGATGCCCATAGCTACTCGACTATTGGGCAGGGATTTGACGGCATAAGCAAGGGAAGCAAGTGTAGCAACTGTATCGTTCGTGATAGCCGCTATCTTGAGCTTTGGGAGTTCAAAGAGCTTCCGACGTTTGCTTGAAGGCTCCGACTCATTATCTAGGCGCCTTGTATGTTTCTCATACCCACTCAGGAGGATCTTGCGCAAGTCAAGGTCTGACGTGATGGCGAATCCTTTGCCCATTGGCATCAGGGTAGCCTCCGTAAGGGATTCTTGCCTGTAGTTGGTCAGATGCAAGCCACATATTGTAGCATCGCAGCGGAGAAAGGGTCACTCACATTATCGGGAAACTAAAGGTAATGCCCATCTCCAATTCCTCTGGAACATGGCCTTTGATGGATTCAGAAGTCAAGCTTTCCGCCACCACTTCCGCAATGCAATCTCCAATCCACGAAAACAGATCCTCTGCCTTGTCCATCTTTAGGTGTTCTTGTATAGGCCATGCTCTCTCAAGAGTCCGCCTGACACGCTGTCTCTGCGCCCTACGAATGGTGTCGCGCGATCTTTCCGACGCGTCTGTGGAACGTGTGTCTGACTCTGTAGCCTCCCCCAGTAGTTCGATGAATGCAACCCGCAGATTGGTCCCACCCACATCAATGGCTAGGTATCGACCTGTCTCCAAGCCAGAGGGTAACCTAGTCACTGGTGTCGGTAAGAACTGCTCCTTCGAATGAAGGGCCAAATCCCGGTATACGGTGGAAAACCGGCGCGCAAGTTTATATAGAACCGCTTCATCCAAAGCTATAGGAGACAAGTATTCGTCAAGCACGCGCTGGCGCTCCAGGTACTCTTTTTGAGAAGGGTCCAGGTCAGCGGTGTCCTCTTCTTCATCCTCCACCGGCTCTTCATGTAGATGTTCGTGCTCATCATCCCTGCTTGTACGCAGATCTATCGAATTGATTGGGGCCATGATGTGGAAGAAGCTAAGCCCGGCAGCGAGATAGGCAAGCAGTCGGTCCGTGTGACTTGCAGCCAGCAAACGGAGGTATTTTTGTACAACGGAGCGGTAAGTCGGCGGAAGGAGGTGCCCAAGGATTGGCTTTATCTACTCGCCCCTGCGGAATGTTTTGAAGCGAAGGTAGGACGGGATGTGGGGGAGATCAAGAATGAGGATCCAGCCTTGGGACGATGATAAGGTGCATGCGAACCGAGGATCCCACGATGGTGAAAGGATAGCCTGGAAGTAATTTTTGAATTGGGGGACGGGTGCGCTTAATGATGATTCACTTCCGTGATGGCCAGAGCAGGAGCGGTGAGTTATTGAGGGGAGGGAATGAGGGAGGGGGAAGTGCTATCTTGCAGGTAAATCTATACAGTGACGAGTGCGATGGTCAGTCTCAAGGTTACATACACTGATGAACAACGGATGGTCAGGTCTCAACATTGTCGAGTGCAGTGACGCGTGTCTAGCAAATAGGATCATGGGAGTCACAGAAATGCTAAAGATGGTACAACGGTGACGATCCTAATGCAGGGAGACATTGGGCAATGCACTGCAAGAGCAGGGGGACGATGTATTCACTCGGAAGGGGAGGGAAGAGGGGAGGGGGTGGGAGCGCAAAAGTAACAATGACACGGACAATGACATACAACCAAGAAGAGTTGCGCTGGTGGAGATCCCGCAGTTATGCTCGTTCCAAGCCCGAAGTTAGAATAAGGCTGAGCCGAGGGTCGGTGTTGATAATGAAATATAAAAGTATTTATCAAAATCAAATATACTCCGTAGAATAAATCAATATATTTTTGTAAAATATCGATCAATCAAGAATTATTGGGAGGTATGCTCGTTTAAGGATGAAAGGGACGGGGATCGACGGAAGAATTGGCGGAACCCATCAATTAAGTATTATGATTATTACGACAAAAAGTAACAACTGGGCCAGCTGGTGGATAAGAGGAAAGCATTGCCGGGTCTCCACACACGGGAGAGAGGAAAGCGATGAGGGGAGAGAGGAGTGAGAGAGAGAGGGAGAGAGGGAGAGCCAGGCAGAGGGAGCGAGAGGGAGAGGGAAAAGTAGCGAAGAGGTGTATTTAGGAGAGGTCGTAATTGGGGGGAAAGGAAGAAAAGGGCGAGGCTAGTTACTACTACTTACTACTTAGTGACTTGCTAAGTTACTGCTAAGTTACTACAAAGTTACAAAGGCAAAAGCTCCAGAGCCGCTGGGATGGAGCCAATGCGACCATCGACAACCAGACGATGTGACGCTGGCCGGTCAGTCGACTACCATGGATTCATCCGATGGCTCGATCGGGGCCCCAGTCCGGTCCCTCAAGGTAGACCCAGACATTCAATTGCCCATCCTGGTCTCCCATTGATCGATGATGATGGGATGCTCCTGCTTGTTTACTCGTGCTTTTTTTTTTTTACTATTTTTTTTTCCCCTTCGTCGTGGTTATTTCCCCTCCGGGGCAGCGCCGTTTCCTTCTTCCTCTTTTCCCCCAATTGATTAACCAACGTCACCTTCTCCTCTTCTCTCTTTCTTCCTTATCGGAGACGCCGCTACTTTAGTGCAAGTCATCTATGAAAACAATGGTGCTGTTTTCCATCTCAATGATCCATTCTATTCCATTCAGGGAATTATCTCCCTCGCGTTCCACTCCTTCCGCTTACTGCTTTCTCCCTCTACTACTCCGCTCTGGCTACTACTGACCATTTCTATCTCTAGGAATCATCCATTTCCTGCTCGGATGAGTCCTCATCGATGTGTATAGTAGGGATCTTCTAGACAACCCTGAAGTCTCTCGGTGTTTTTCACGAGTGACAAACGCGCCTGTCTATTACACAAATACTGGGAAAGAGATGGAGAGCCAAAGCTAAGAAATAAATCGCAAAAATAAACGAAACTTGGAGCCAAACAAACCATGTGGTGGGAAGTGGGGCGATACCTCCATCTGTGATGCACAGACTTGAACATCAATGCCCGTCGAGTCAGAACCCGGTGGCTCTCCCACCTTAGTCTACTCAGGGCGTTGTCTTCCACCCCTCCCATTTGTTGCTGATACCGTTTAGGTGGATAAAGAAGCGTAAGAGAGAACTGTGCTTCGGCCTCTTCGCTTGCCTGGACGCGGTGGTCTTTGGCACACGAAGTCCCGTTCTGCCTCTCCGGCTCAACCGTTATTTGGGAAAGCTAAGTGGCATCAGGCCCCCGTATTCCAGCCACACCTTCATCAACTGACCCTGGATTGTCAAGTAACAATAAGCTCGTCGTTTCACGGCGTACAAGGTCCAGATTCATCATCAAGACGTTTCTGGAATCCATGCTCCAAATTTCCATGGCGATAGTGAGATCGTTGTGGACCCTGAGGTGGTGTGGTACCGATTACTGGCTGTCCAGCTCTTTGTGGGAAAAGCTCGCTAGCATCGTGTAGTAAACATACGAGCGTAAGCACGATTATCTGGCTTATTAGGGGTAGGGCCTTCGCAGACGGTGTCTGAATTCATCATCACTGTAGCCGTCAAGTGTCGATGTCAGACACTAGACTCCGAGGTCGGAGAGCCGTTGAGTGACGGCGGAGCAGGGAAAATTAGCCTGCGGAGTGCGGAGCTCCCGAGATATCCAGCACGCAGACGTCCCTGGGATCTGCGTGATAGGGGTAGTCTAGGGACCAGCGGACCCTGCAACAGCAGAAATTGGCATCGGAGGTCACTCCCTGAAACCCCCAGCGCCGCTTTGCTACTGTTTTTGACAACGGTAGGCAGGGAAACACTCTATGCCTCACCTGTGAATCAATTCTGGCATTGTGATCGTCAAGACTACATCCATATCAAGCTCTTTTTGGTGCCTACTCCGTAGCGCGTGAATGCTAGGCAAGTGGAGTCTTCTGAGTACCAACCCTTTGCATATTAGCTGGCATGAGGCCTGGGCAAGCGCTGATGATAGGCCCAAAGTTGCCGTTCACCGGTTATTCTATGACCCTATCTGCAATCTATCCAACATTATTAGTCTGTGACTAGCGAACAATCACGCCATGTGATAGACCTTTCGGTAGCGCTTGGAGGGTTGCAGATAATATGCACTCTTGGATGTACTGCCCGATGCTGGCCATTACAATGCGACTAACCCTCGCGAGCAGACCGGTATCCGTCAAGCAAACGTTCGCCGATGCTGCAAGAATACCATGCAAGGCCGTGACTGGAGTAAGTACACCCTAGTCACCAAGCTAGCTGATGCCAAGCATAGATGCTTGCATCTTAACAGTGACAGCAAGCATGATTCGTACACAATCCATTTCATACATTCTGTCCCCCTTGATCTAATTGGCTTCGAAGCATAGAAGGCTGGGATAGAGGCCAAACCACTCCGTAGTGATAGTGCAAAGCCGGGGTAGCATGGTCCACAGTCGGACAGGCTCGTTTTCGACAATGCTACGTCTTGCCTGCTAAGCAGGTTGGAATAGGATGTACAGTATGGGAGGAGTGGAGTAGTCTTCAAGTTAGTTAATTAGACTCTGAGGAATGATGCAACCTCAGGCCATGCATGATTCTTCAACGGCCGTCCAATGTAGGAAGGGATCGGAGAGGTTAGTACGGCCCACGGTAGACATCACAAGGCAGCTCAGAAAGGATACTCCCAAGAGTCAATTAGAGCCTATCATCCAAGGGTCGCCATCTGTAGATGAAGCTCTTCACCTGGTAAGGCTGTTTGGGTTTGACCGGGGAGGAAGGGCATCAGTGTAACGAGAGGGCGAAATGCTGGGTTGCTCTCGGAATCCCCCGCCGAATGGCATCGCTGGATCGGATCGCGATCTCCCCACATTCACCTCTGGTCTTAACTTTTTCATCATCATCCCTCCCTTCACCAACCTCCATCAACCTTCCATTACTGCTACCGTTTAAGTAGCGGGTGGTAGCCAACATGGATAAACTACCAACTCAATCCAAAGCCGACAGTTCCGGCTATGTCGACCTTTCCGAGTCGTCCGTGGCGCGACCGATCAGCACCCGTCGCGACCGGGTTGTTACTCGGCTGGCCGCATGTCTGGGGCTCATCACCATCGCCTTCCTAGCTTTATCGTGGACCCCCATCTCCATTTCCGGCCTTAAGCTCTTTTCATGTCATAGATGGAGAGGACACCATGATGCTTCGTTTCCCCCGGACTTGGGCGCGGAGGAAGCTCCGTTGATGAGTGGCCCACTGCATGAGCTGTCCACCCTCGACGGAAGCCTAGCCTCGAGTAACAGGATTCCCCTTGAGGCTCATGTCATGAGTAAATGCCCCGACGCTCGGGACTGTCTCCAACAGCTTGTTCTTCCTGCTATGGAGCAGATCAGCGATAAGGTTGACTTTAAGCTGTCTTTCATCGCCGCGTATGTAGACCCCTTATCCTTTCGACTTCCCAACTCAGAACACTGACACTGCCCAGAGTATCGAACAAGTCATCGGAAATCCAATGCATGCACGGTCCCACCGAATGCATCGGTGACATGCTCATTCTCTGTGCGGCTAATCTGCCTTTTCCGCCTGACTCCGGTGCCATGTGCTCCAAGGAGTCTCGTACTCCAACCATCCGGTCGCTCGGGTTTGCCAACTGCCTTATCAGCTCGTATCCCGATATTCCGAAGCGCGACCTGGTTCAGGGATGTGCTTTGGAGCATGGTATCGACTTTGAGGCTTTGAACAAGTGTGCCAGTCGAGAGTATGATGACCTTGGCGACGACGATGATAGCGACGAGCAGACACCGCTTAGTGGCATTGCCCTGTTGCGCAAGAGTGCACTGCACAGTGAGAAGCTCAATGTCAGGACCAGCTGTACGCTCCGACTGAATGAGTCTACCTGGTGTGTCCGGGATGGTGGAGTCTGGAGGGACTGCGCCCAGGAAGGAGAGGGCAGCAAAGTCTCGGTGCTCGTGGACGAGGTGAAGAAGCTGTGGGACAAGGTCAACTGAGCCTTTACTGTGCTTGGTGAAATACTAATAATGTGCTATGACTGATGTGACAGCTTTTCCGTGATGCAAATGATGTGCGAGGGCAACCTATGCTATATCCAGTTATGACATGTCTTTAGCCGAACAGTTTGTATGCCTACTACTTAATCATAATCATCGTTTGCTTTCTATCATGCTCGGGCTTCCTTTCCTTTACTATCTCATACTGTCTATCCCACCCTGATCATTTTAATCCGTTTGCACTGTTCATTGAGCCCACTCATGCTGTGAACATGCAACTCTGTGCAATAGTTGCGCGCGCAGACCATACACAAATGCGCCCTGCAAGGCAGACCCGGCAGCAATTCACTACCTGTTAACATTTACCGCCTAGTTTTTATGTGTTGTTGAACAGGTTCGATATCTCTCATCACGACTCTCCTTGACCTTCATACCTCTTCAGTACACTTGTTCACCAACTCATCAGCAAGTGTACATCTCCATAAGCGTCCCTATCATTGAGAAGTACCTTCTCCCCATTCTCCATCCCCAAAGCTTCATCTGACCCTCTACCTATAGAAAAGCTCGCCAAGGCAGCAATCATGGCCAGTCGCGACGTTCACACGGCCGAATTCTTCCAGCGCAAAGTGGACGAGCTCGTAAGGAAGTATGATCGCATCACTGAGCCCAATGCTGTTTTGCAGGCCATCCTTCAGGATCCGGAGAGCATGAGATCTCTCGTCGATGCAATTCAACGCCAGGCATCGCTCGTGAGACACCGGTCTAGGAACGTTGAAGACGCAGAGATTACTGTCTTTGACAATGCTCTAATGATTCTATCCAATGGTGGCCATGACACCCAAGACGTCGGAGCACTCGAACTCTACCTGGCCGAATATCTTGGGGTCTGTACTTTTTCTCCCATTGCTCATGCTAAACAGGCTTTGCATGACTATGACATCCTTCAAGACACCGTGACCAGAGGTGACTACTTCCCTTCTTCTTTTTTCTTACATCTAAATTTAAACATGGACAATTCCTCATTGGCTTCACAGCAACTGCATCCCCCAGCACCACCGACGAGGCTACAGCTACAGAGGAGCAACCACAGACTCCCGAGCAAGCGCTCAAGACTCATGTCCAAGACAACGAGCACTCTCGTAGATTGCAGCACATACTTCCTCCAAGACCACCCCCCACCCTTGAGGAAGTTCGTCGCCGCGAGCAAGTGGAACGACTGATTCAGATGTACCAAAAGGCCAAGGCCGAGTACAGCAAGAAGGACCCCGAAGATATTGACATCAGCTTGGCCAAATACTTCCGCGATACATCTGAAAACACGCTTCACTTTCTACGAGTCAATGACATGTCGGACCATCCCTTGATCCCCGATATCGAGAATTCATTCGAACGTGCCAAGGGCAAAGCTGCTCAGTTGGCGGGCCGCGGACGTCACTTCGACGAGCCTCGTGCAACTACTTCCACCCACAATCATCCTTCCAAGAAAAGAAGGGGACGTCGTCACCGATACCGCGAGGTTGACTCCTATCGTCCTGGCAAGTAGTGATGGGAGTGTGGAAAGGCTGCTGTTGCTCGATAGGCAAGGGTTGGTTTAGTTCCTGGCGTTTTTGCAGCATTCTAACCTCGGTGCATTGGGATGGGCGTTTTCCTGTTTTCAATATGGATGCTGGAGCTTCGAATTCGAATTACAGCGTGGCAAAGCGGGGAGTTTTAGGATTCGGAGAGGATAATAACTACTAGCTAGTATTTTGTAGTTAAGATGTTAAGAAAATGACATGAAGGCTTGGCGTAAATCGCTGCTTTAGCGGCCACCACGTGCCTCCGATCTGCTCTTCTCGATGTTGACTTGCTCCAACGCGTGTACGTAAACCTCCGAACAGTAACAATTTCATCGCATTCAGGGCGAAGCAGTCAATCCCGACCAGCATTTTTGGTAGTGGTCGGGTCGTTAGACTTTCAGGAGGCATGATTTTCTAAACCATCCCAACCCCTCCCCAATCCACCAAAGATGGCCTCCTTGCGCCCCGGCCCGACCGAGGCCATCTCCGTCTCCAGTGGATCTTCGTCCACTCCTCAGTATACGCCTGTCTCCGACCGCTCCGAGAATGATGCTTCTCCCAATCCAGACCGTCCAGCAGCCGGGTCTCTGAGAGTTCAGACGGCCTTCAGCTCCGATGGGGAGTCATTTACTGACGACGGGTTCGATGAAGGATATGATTCCTTCGAAGATGTGCAGCCCCTTTCGAATAGTAGAATTAGCATGCCAAAGTACACGAAAGAGGAAGAGGATGGAGTCATCAAGCAATTCGATCGCAAATTGGTCCCTTTTCTAGCTCTACTCTATCTACTTTCATTTCTGGATCGTTCAAGTACGTGATTTGTCCTTGGCGCAGCCAAGACCTTCTATATACCCCATCTTAAGATTGATATCAGCTAACATAAACCAGACATTGGAAATGCCAAAATCGCCGGTCTCGCAGATGACCTGCATCTCTCGTCATCGCAATATGAATGGCTCCTCACGGCCTTCTACATCACCTACATTCTCTTCGAATGGATGACCCTCATGTACAAACTCGTCCCACCGCACATCTACATCGCTCTCTGCGTCTGCGGCTGGGGCCTCGTCGCATCTCTGCAGTCGCTCGCTACTTCATTCGGAGCTCTCGTCTTCCTCCGAGCAGCCCTCGGCATCACCGAAGCAGCATTCGGCCCTGGAGTACCCTTCTACCTTTCACTCTTCTACAAACGCGAAGAGCTCGCCTTCCGAAACGGCCTCTTCATCTCCGCAGCTCCCCTCGCCTCATCCTTCGCCAGCAGCCTCGCCTGGATCATCGTCCGCGTGAGCGACAACGGCCCAATTGCACCCTGGCGCACTCTCTTCCTAGTCGAAGGGTTCCCCAGCATCGTCGTCGCCGTCTTCGCCTGGATGCTCATCCCCGATACACCAGGGAGCGCCTCATTCCTGAACCCCCGACAGCGCGCCATCGCACAGCTGCGCATGGACGAGCTCAAACCCAACCACAAACCACACCAGCAGCAATCGCAGCAGCGCAAATCCTTCAACTGGATTGAAGTCAAGAAGACTCTTACCGATCCCAAATCCTATATCACAGCCGTGAGCCTCTCCCCAGATTACCACCATCTCTACCATCCACCATCCGCTCACTCTCAATACAGTTCATGTTCTTCGCCTGCAACGTCGCCTTCAGCTCCATGCCTGTCTTCCTCCCCACCATCATCCAAGAGTAACCACTCCCCCTCCCCATCCTCTTCCCCTCACCAACCCAAAACTAACCACCCACGGTCCAAAACTATAGCATGGGCTACACCTCCCTAACCTCGCAAGCCCTCTCCGCCCCACCCTACCTCCTCTCCTTCCTAACCGTCCTCCTAACATCCCACCTCTCGGACCGCACCCGCACGCGCAGCCCATACCTAATCTTCCACGCGCTGCTCTCCGCAACGGCCTACCTGGCCATCGCCCTAGCAGGACACTTCCACTCGCACCTCCCGCCCACCATCCACGTCGCCATCCGCTATCTGGCCGTTTACCCCGCCACATCGGGGTTCTTCTCCGCCATCACGCTCATCATCACCTGGACCATGGATAACCGGCCCGCGAACGAGGGGAAGGGGGCGAGCGTCGCCCTGCTGAATGTTATTGGCCAGTGCGGGCCGTTGTTGGGCACGAGGCTGTATCCGGCGAGTCAGGGACCGTGGTATGTGCCTGGCATGGCGGTTTGTGCCGGGTGTATGGTGGGTGTGGCGGTGTTGGCGGGCGTGTTGAGGGTGCTTTTGGGGAGGGAGATGAGGGGGGTGGAGAGGGAAAGTACTAGGGGTGGGGGTAGGGATGGGGATGATGGGGAGGGGATTGAGTTGGAGGAGAGGGAGGTGCTTATGGCGGGGTTTGGGGGTGGTCAAGGTGGTGATGGTGGTGGGAGGGGGGAGAAGTTTACGTATATTTTGTAGATTTTTGAAATTGGGTGAGTAGCTTCGATATAAGGATGTTAGTCGTAGATTGGGTAGTCGGCAATATGTGAAGGGAATCTAACGGATGTTTAGATAGATATAAAAGTCATACTCAAACCATGAGGGAATAATTGATAGATCAATGGTTTCTTTCTTTCAAAGGCAGAAGCCTAGCCGTATCCATTCAAGCAAAGTAAAAAGGTTCATCAAGCCAAACAGCTATCAGGTCATCCCATTAACCAAACAAGTTCATTTGACGCGCTTTAAAACCCTCATAACCAAAAAGAATGCAACAATAAAAGATAAAGCTGGTGATGAGGCCATGAAGAAAGATAAGAAAACCGTATGTATGATACATCAAAAAGAAGCCATGGGTATGTCCCCCCTTTCCCCAAGAAAAAAGAATCATCCATAATAGTAGGCGACTTTTGAAATGCTCATCCCTTCACGCAAGGCTATTTATAGAACTCCTCCCCGGACGGACCCTCTCTAAATACCATTTCCCAACGTGTTGTTTATTTATTGCCAACTCCGGTAGTAGTAGATTTTTCTCTTCGTGATCTTTGACGAGGCAGCTGCATCTTACCATGCGGTGTGGCCACCGTCGATGAGCATAGTGCTGCCGGTCATGAAGCTGCTCGCGTCACTCAGAGCGAAGAGAGCAGCACCTCGGAATTCCTCCGGGTAGGCAAGTCGTCCGAGCATGTTCTCGGCTTCCCAGACGGCTCGGGATGCAGGGTTCTGCTGGAACACCTGTTCCACCATTGGGGTGATGATATGGCCGGGGCACAGGCTGTTCACGCGGATGCCGTGACGGCCCCATTCCATAGCGAGGGATCGGGACAGCTGGATTACAGCCGCCTTGGAGGCGTTGTAAACGGGAGAGGTCATTCCCTTGTTGGCAATCAGACCGCTCATGCTAGCAATGAGAAGGATGGAGCCCTTCTGTTGGTAGTTGAACATCTGCCGCGCAGCAGCAGTGGCCGAGTTGAAGACTCCATTAAAGTTGATTTGCATGACTTCGTTAAGAGCCACCTGCGAGTGTTCCAGAGCGCTCTGCAGGTGGTTGATACCTGCGGCGGCAATCAAGCCATCCAGTCGCCGGTTCTTGCCTGCGATTTCCGCAAAGAGGTCGTTCACTTCAGACTCATCCCGGACATCGATACGGTGGTACTCCAGGCTGCCACCATAGTTCTTCTCGGCATGCTCTTGAGCGGCGAGGAAGTCGGGGTGGGGAGACTCAAGTCGATCCAAGCAGTAGACTGTATACGAAGATTAAGGTTAGAAGTCGCTCAAAGGGATAAATTTGGCTTCGTAGATCCTTGGGATCGTACCTTTCGCACCAGCCTCCATCAAAGCTTCAGCCATCGCCAATCCGAGTCCTCGTCCACCACCAGTGATGGCGAAGACACGATCGTCAAGGTCAAACTCGCGGAATCGGTGGCCCTGCTTGGGCTCGCCTTTCAACGACGGTATCCGGGTTTGGATGTGGTGTGAGCCATGAGAACCTGACCCTGTGGAGTGCAGCCGCTGCGACATAGGCTGGATCATGGCGGATGGTGCCCAAGACCGGGCTGGGGCCAGAGCCGATAGCGACCGGCACAATACAGAACGCATGGCGATGGTGCGTGCAAGATTATTAAATTAAAGATTAAGGTATAAAGGACGAAAACGGAATGGAAATCAACTGTGCACGCAAAGTGAAAAAGTCTTTGGCTACCACAGGGGCGCGATGGCTATAGAGAATATCGTCGGATCCCCATTGTCTTGGTAGGAGAACCTGGGGTTTATAGACCTGGAGAAGACCAACGGACAACGACCCGTCGAAACCGCATATCTCCAACTGTCGCACAAGACATCCGAAAATAGAAGGAATCAGAAAAATATGATGGCCGCGTGATTGCCTTGATGGGTCCATCGTCAGATTCTAGAGCTGCTTTCACGATGACTTCAAGACCCAGACCACATCATCGCCCAAGACCATCCGTGGTACCAGGGCTGGTCCATGCATAAGCTATGGCCAGGAAAGCTTGCCACAGGGCAACGCAGGGCGGAAAGGCAGGCATCGGACGCATAGCAGAGCAATAGGGGGGAATGGTGGTGTCTGAAGCAGGCATCGTGACTTCTCTCATTGCTTGGTTGCTGAACCCGGCAAGTCACCCTGATCATTTGATCGAGGGATGACGATCAATCATTCATTAAAGTGGAATGGCCCACCAGAACGGGATTCCCGTGTACGGGGAGACCGAGCTGCTGGATCAGATTGGAACCGACGCCGCTGCAATAGCGGTCAGAACAGCTCCATCAGCGACTCTGACGGGTAATTCCCTATATTGGCCAACATTGAATCAGAGGACTGTTTTTACGGAAAATGAATCCTCGGATGTCTAAGCCGTTCTAATCAGAGAACGATGGGTAATGGTGGTGCAAGAGGTAGCGTGCAAAAAGCAGGGTAGAGCTCTCCCCGGCTTGTAGCTCCGAGGGCTTCCATGGAATGGAACCCTCCAATAACGGTCTCGGCATCGAAGTGGTGGTGTAATTAATCTGTCCTCGCAGCATGGAACCGTCCCCACGACATCCGCGACCCCATCCTGCAGCAAGATAAGAACACAGTACTTTTTGAGGGGTTCCGGGACTTGAAGGGCTGCCCTTTTCCGGGTATCCTTGCTGCGTCGGCCCCGATTTTCATGGGGTCATTCATCCTTCTAGATTTTCTCCCCAGTGCGGCGGTGATCTTCCCCACGCTTTGGGCGGGTTTGAGAATAAGCAAGTATGGCACATGAGAGGTTCATCATTCAGAATCCCAAATGTCGGTGGCCTCAAAATTCGCCGATAGGTTATGTTGGTCTCCGCCCTTTCTCTGCTGGCGGCTTTGGGTTGCCGGTTGTTCCCCAGAACTCCCATGCTCCCATACTCCGCACCCCCGTAATTGACCCAGGGAGGGCGTAAGGGTGGTACTTTTGCCACTATCGCACGAAGCTTCCGAAAAATGACAACCCGGGATGGTACCATGGATGACTCCGACGGCATATCATTGTCCAACGATCGGAGCATTCCAGGATGCAGATTCCTCCAGATCTGCCAAGCTCGCCCTGCCTCCCCATATTCGAACCCTTTCTTCTTTTGACCTTTCGCCCCCTTACACAATTAGCATTCGATCCAATCTTTGTTATTTTTTTTTTTTTAGAGACAGAAGTCCAGTGGCAGCCGTATGTGCAAGACAGGGGTGAGAGCCAAGACCAGGAGTCGGGGGAATGGGAATGGCGGGAGAATCCCAACGTAGACCGAAGGAGAGAAAAGAAAACAACAATTCCTCCTCTTCCGTACCGGCCAGGGTGGCTTTCCTATTTGGGTAATCCGTGATAGTACCGAACACTGATCATGTGCATCGTCAGACTTTTCACATTTGTTTATCAAATTAAGGTGCGCAGAGAACAACTGTCGCGATCCTGCAGGCAGTCTAGACTGCACCGATCGTCCAGATGGGTGACTTCGTTTCATATTTGCACAACTGGCCATCTGCCTGGACAAAATTCAGACTTCCAGCATCTCCATCCGATATTAATCATGCATGTAAGCAGTAACTAGCATGTCAGCTGGGATTAGTGCTTGATTGTTTCTTTCCAATGAGACAAGAGTTTGCCCATCCGGAAGCATATCTGCGAGTCTATTGATTGATTGGAGGCCCCGTGGAGTAGATTGTAGCATCCTGTCAATGCGGCAAGATCGGTTAATGTTAACTGATAATTTGGAGATCCTTCAGTCTAGACGAATCTTCAAGCCCAACCACACTTGGACGATGAGCACAACTGCAGGGAATTGGGCGTCGTTGCTTGGGAGAAAAAGGACGCGTGGAAGTAAGTACGTATATGTTTACGCACCGGCGAGAAAGGAAAGCAGATCTCGCCCGAGGTCACGTTCCTCCTGGCAGAGCACATGGGCCTAGAACAGAACGCATTACAGACAGAAGTCTATCCATAGCCACTCTCCTACACCGTAAAGTCATGCTATTCATAAATCATAACGCGACATGACAGTCATATCTGTCTTCGCTGCTCAGTAGCCAGCCACGGCTCGACCGATTCGATGCAATATGCCAGCAATGAGCAGCCCGCTAATTATGCCATTCCACCGAAAGTACCTGCAGCACTGACTCCAAGTCCCATGCCTCCATTAGCATTGCCAAAGTCCAGCTTCATGAGCAGACGGTCAACACCAGCCGCTTTCCGAGGCACATAGTGGAAGGAACCAGACTCGGTCGCTGAGCCATTAGCTTGGAGCGACCCATTCTCGCGTGAGTCCTTCACAAATTCAAGCATCTGCCGCCCTTCTCCAGATCGGCTGTCATCAATGTCTCGCAGTCGTGCCACAGCGTCCTTGATTCCTGCTTCGACACTAGCCCGCGCAACACTGAGTGATTGCCATATCTCCCTCTCTTCCCCTGCATAGTCTACTAAAGCATCAACAACGCCCTCATCGGTCTCGAGGTCCATGTTGCGCTGGATGCTTTCCAGTCGAACTACTAGTGCAATAAAGTGTTCCACGCTGGTCAGTAAGGAGCGGAGGGCTTTAGTAAAGGGTATGTCCGTGAGGAAAAGAGATTCAACAAGAGAAAAGAGATAACGACGATGCGCCGCGGTCAGTGTTTCAGGGTCATGCCGTTGGACCATCTGACTATCACCTCCGGAACCAGATTCGGCCGGGTCGTTAATGGCCTGAAAATGGTCGGTGCGCTTACTATTAGCGGAGGACGCGGTTCCAGGTCGTGAGCCCGTTGTTGGGGATCCACCTTCGATCCATTCTCGAAAATGTTGCCAGTTGCCATTGAGAACTTCTCCCTGGAAGTAGCTCCCTAGTTCTGATAGAACAAAAAGGGAGGCACTGCTCGTTGCCCAGACTGGCCTCATCTGCCGAGTCCTGGTGTTGTCTCTCTGTCTGCCGAGCTTTAGTCTACTCTGGCCGTAAGGAGTGCTGCTGCGAGGCGGACCCCACGGAGATGGATGGATCTTTCGAAGGAAAGTATGCTTCCACAAGTCGCCCAAATGCATCTGGGCGCGTCGGATACCAAGAATGTAAGAGTGAATCTTCGAGTAGATTGATATATCAGAGGCGGACAGAAACAAATCGAGAGGCGAGCGGACGTGGACCGAGAGACACGTTGGAGTGGGGAAAAGAAGATCGTCAAAGGCGACGTCCGAGATTCTAGCATTCATCTCAGATCCAGCAAGATCGGGAGACAGCGCTGGGCTATTGTCAGCATCCTGCTTGATCGACAGCCGAAGCAGCTCTTTTGCAAGATCAAGCTCATCGTCTGCGGGATCTTCTTCGGTTTGCAGCGAGTAGAGCTCTGAGAGCGTCTGTGACAGAGCAGTCACTACATCTCCTTCCTTGATAGAAAGCCCCCTAAGATCTTCTGATGGGTTGTGCCTGGAGGCTGAATGCCCGTGTTTCCGATATCTCTCTTGAATGCGTGTATCGGCATGAGATACCAAAGCCGTTGCAAATTCGCCCCGTCGGAGTAATAGAAAATCGTGGAGAACTGAGAGGACTTCGAGAATTTTGGGTAGTGGGAAAATCTTGGAGAGCGTGCTTTGGGACAGAGAGAACCGGATGGCATTCACGGCACTCGACAGTCTCGACGCTGATATAGGTGATTTCAATGCAGCAAGCTGTTCTATATGTTCCGTGTGTAGTGAGACGGAAGTAGTCGATAAGCCCGCAGAGGAATTCGCAGCAGGTGCATTGCGCTTTGCTCTAATGAGATTCAACGTTTTGCCGATGAACAAGATAGATGAGGCTGTATGAGCTGTTACAAACTGGGGCAGGAGCTCTGGATGCACGACGAATTGCGTGGCAGCGGGCGGTTGATCATGGCTTGCATTATCGCGTTGTATGAAGAAGTCGGATCCGCCGAGGATGGGGAGATTTCCGTACAGCAACCAAGGGGACAACTGTCTCATCCAAGCAGTCTCTGCAATACCAACCAAATGCAAGGCCATATCTTTCAGGTCAACGTACCCTGTTTGCGTTTCCGCCCGAAGGTGATCGATCAGAGCCACGCCAGTGCAAAGCTGGTCTATATTTCGGGAGTCTATGGGCCATATCAACCTAACCGTCTCCCACAGCCATTCCAATCGTCGCGTCCATGGAGAAAATTCGCCAACAATCGTCGACAATGGCACGATTCCGTAACCGCCCACATAACCACTATCCTCTACCAGGATCGATTTCTCCACTTCTAAGATTTTTCTTTGGAATTCGCCCAGGTGACGTGAGCTTATGGCCGTCGAGACTGCGCGACAAATAACAGAAGGGTGGGAGGAGGAAATTAAGGCGGTATGTGTTCGTAGTTCGGTATGGAGACGGCTCAGACGGGCAAGAGAGGCGAGGAGGGCTTTCTCCGGAGGGGAAACCAAGGGAAAGGCATCTTCAGAGATACCACTTCCTTCAGTCTCTGGATTGAAAAGAGGTGATGGTTGCCCCGAGAGGGAGAGGAGGATCTCGTGGAGCATTGTGCGCGGATCTCTCTGGAGACGATAAAGTCAGATATCTAGACAGGCCCAGAAGCACCATAGTAAAGAACGAACCTTAAGGAATGGTCCTTATTTTTTCTGGATTTATGACGCTGCCAGTATAGAAGTCCACATCCAAGAAGTTCGTATCGACACATGTGAAGAAGTTACCCTAGAACAAGCCTCTCTTGGGGAAAAAGGCACGGGTCACCGCGTTGTTCGACGCAGTAAAGCCGCGGCGCGTCGCGAAAGAGGTGCGGCGTAGAAAAGATGACTGAGGATTGAGTCTCGTTGACTATCAGACATCAATGTTGGACAGAATTGAGGCCAGGCTTTATCCAGGACCGATACTCATCTGGATCCGAGCACCTCCGCCTAAGATGCCTCATCACCGCCGATTCAGCTGCTTTGGAGCTCATTGTCACTGACTGAATGGGAGTTGCCGACTCGCTGCTGGGCGTGTCCGCGGGGCTCCAGCCAATGAGTGGCAATAAACCCGCTGAGTCAGCCGCCGACAGCTTGTCCCTCTCTCTTACGTCGCCGCTGAGAGA